AGTAGGGAGTGAGGTGGGGGTAAGGGTTTAACATTTGAATTTCTGGGGGGAGGGGGAACGGTACACAATTCAGTCCATAGCAGGTGCTTAGCTTAGCCCAGTTCTTTAAAAGAAGCCTCTCTCTGTCTGTCTCTCTCTCTCCCTCCCTCTCCGTCTCCCGCTCTCTCTCTTCGTTTTATAGAGTCATGAAGTGAATGGGGGAGCAGTGATGAAACACCTTTCAGCTCCTGTTTGTAATGTGTCTTCAGCTCTTCATTCTCACTACATCCGTTTCAACTTTGTATGTTCTTTTCTCAGTAGCTTTAGCAACATTAAGACCTCCACGTTCTCTTTCTGTCTCCTGTGCGAGGTTTTTACCATTGCTGATACTTGATCTATCCACGTCTTTCTCCCCCTGTAAATAACTGTGTCTCCACTGGCGTGAGCCATCCCAAGGTGGAAACTGGGGAACAAATCCAGGTTTGTATACCCCAGCGCGCCACCCTATAGGGACACTGCAGTTTTGCTTGCAATGGTAGAATGAAACGGAAGGGACTTGGGTGGGCTTCAAGAGCCACCCAGGACTCGAAGGCCCCCAGGGAAGCTGAAGGCCTTGATCACTCATTGGGCCACGGGCATGTCAGTCTTTGCCTGTTGGCCAATGAGCTCAGAGCTGGCGCTGGAGGAAGTGGCTCTTTGTTGACGTTTCCAAGCTCCGCCTCCCACTGCCAGTCAGCCAGACGCTCTCCCGCCTTGGGGACGGCCGCCACCACCGGCGCAGGCGCAGTCTCCCCGGGCCACTTCTCGGGCTGCCCCGGGGGCTCTCCTGTCCCGGGGCCCCCACAGGCGCCTTCGCAGACTCTTCTTGTTCCCTGCGCAGCCGGCTTCTCTGCCGCCCCCTCTGCCGCCCCCGCCACCTCCAGGCGGGCCCGCTGCCAACAGCCTCCCCGCAACGGCGGTCAGCCCGGCGGCCGCCATCTTCGCCGTAGTCGTCGCTGCAGCCGGGTCGGTGTCGGCCGCGTCCCTCCTGCCATGTCTGCCACAGAGGAGCGCGGCCAGATCCCAGGTGGCCGGGACACAGCTGTTGGCTGGGCGGGCGGCGACAACAGACTCCTTGGGGTCGGTGCGTCACCTTTGGAAGGGATGGATGGAGTCCAGGGCGTCTTCAGAGTCCTTCCGGAGGATGAGGGTTGGCAGGAGGAGGTCGCCGAGGCCGCAGCGGAAGAGAACTGGGCTGTAGAGCTGGGAGAGGAGGAGGGGGAAAGGGAAGAGTTTGAATTCGAGTTCGAGGACCAGGAGGAGGAGGAGTACCAGTCAGAAGAGGGGGACGAAGACGAGGAGGAGGAAGAGAGGGAGACAGAAGAGGAGGAGGAGGACGGGCAGGAGGGCACAGAAGTCGTCTCGGGTGCCCGTGAGGCCCCCACCGTGCGGTCTGGGTCCCTGTTCCGCATTCTGGTCCATTCCCTTCTACACAGCGACCGTGACCTGGTCCGGCCCCACGCGGGCCGCGTGGGGGCTCGGCGCCGCTTCTGGCAGCGCTTGGACCTTGCAGACCTTGCAGACCTTGCAGACCTTGCAGAGGGCCCCGCGCCTCCTCAGGAGGTGGAAGCCCCGGGAGAGGGACCTGTGCCCCAGGAGCGGGAAGACCTGGGAGAGGAAGCTGAGGTGTGGGGGGGCGAGGCCCTGGCTGATGCCTCCCAGTCCTGGGAGGCTGGAGCCTGTGGCCCCGAGGGCAGGGCCCAGGCTGGCGAGTGGCGGCCGAGTCCTCAGGCCCTCGCAGCCCCTGTTGGGGCGTCTGGCCCAAAGGCAGGCGGTGCTCAGCGCTTGCCTCTAGCACTTACGCAGCGGGTCAAAGCTCTCAAAAACCTCCAGGCACGACATGCGCAAGTAGAAGCCCAATTCTATAAAGACCTTTTTGATCTCGAGAAAAAGTACGCTGCCTTCTACGAACCTCTGTTCGATAGGAGAGCTGCCATCATCAATGCAATTCATGAGCCCACAGAAGGGGAATGTCAGTGGGCAGTAGGTGTGGCGGAAGGGGCTTGGGAAGAAATGGATGCAGAGCCTGAAGGAAAGGGGCAAATAAATGGCATACCTCACTTTTGGCTGACAGCTTTTAAAAATGTCAAGATGCTCGGTAGGATGATCCGGGGAAATGACGAACTTGCCCTGGAGCACTTGACAGATGTGAAAATAAAGTTTTCTGGGGTCGATGAACCAATGGGCTTCACCGTAGAATTTATCTTTGAGTCAAACGAATACTTTTTCAACCAAGTTCTGACGAAAACGTACCGAATGCGCTCAGACCCAGATGATTCTGATCCCTTCTTCTCCAGAGGGCCAGAGATAATCAGCAGCACAGGCTGTGAGATCTACTGGAAAGAGGGGAAAGACCTCACCATGAAAACTCTCGAGCTGCAGAAGTGTGAGGGCCGTGGAAGTGTGGTACCAGCCACGGACAAGGTGCCCAGTCGTTCCTTCTTCACCTACTTCTACCCTCCTGATTCTCCTGAGGGTAGGGTATTGGATATCGCCACTGATTATAAGTTGGGCTATTTTTTCCGTGAAGTTCTGGTCCCAAAGTCCGTATTATTCTTCACGAAAGAAGCGACTGAATATCAGTGTGAAGACTCTGATGAAGAGGTCCAAGAAGCTGAAGGGCCAAGAACCGAAGAACCAGGGCGAGGACCTGAAAAGGATGTGGACCCAGCAGAGGGCAGCCCCGGGGAAGCCAGGTATCTGTGTGCAGCTCCGAGTATCACCCAGCCATTCCTGACATAGGCCTATTGTGTTATGTTTTTAAGTTTCCTCCACAAAGCAAATAGTAGTAAAGGAAATTTGGCTAAAGCCTAGTTTCAGGACAGCTTAACGTTCGTAAGGCGTGTATGCTAGATAATGTAGAATGGAGCGTGTTCTGAAATGTGCTTCGCTCCCAGCTGCAGGCCCTCCGAGCGGTAGCTGTAAGACTTCTGCAGGTGGGAAACTTATCAGACCTGGTAG